TGAAGAACTGGAAAATTTCATCTTCCATTTGTTGAGGAACTGGAATTTTAAAACTTTAGTTTAGCTAGAAACAAATATAGTGGCCACTCTTCAAATAACATTTTTTTTTTCTCCAAAGTACACACTTACCAGAAATAGCTTAAGATAGAATTAATGGACTGGAATAGAGATGGCAAGTTCTAATCTTTACTTTTGCCTCCTCTTATGTGGGTTAAGTTCACAGTCTTTAGAAATCAATCAACTTTGATATGCTTCAATTAATACAATATAAAACTGTCTAAAATACTTTTATATTACCTAGAGGAATTAAGAAGTAAAATATTCAATGTATTTTTACAGTTTGGATGAAATATATAATAACTTTATTATCTTACATGCTAATCTTTATTTTAGAAAAGAGAATCTGCAAACTACATAAAAAGTGGGATTCCAGAAGGAAGATTCTAGGAAAGTGTTAATGACAAAATATTATAAGATAGAAAAATAATTTCAGCTGTACTTATTACAGAAATTAACTTGTCATGTCATTAGCGGTAAGAAATTAAGATGACCAATGCTCTCAAAGTTACCAACAATTAGAGTTCATGAATAAGGAGCATGAAAAGAAAAAAATTACTTAGATTAGCTTTTGGTAAAGAAAGGAAAATAAATTCAGGCCATTTATAGTTGGAAAGTGATCAGAAGTGTGCACTTTAAAAGAATGGTGTTGGAAGGAGCATCCATCATGGGATAGAAACAGTCTGAAAATTCTTGCTGAGTGGCCAGATTGCAGGCAGCTCCATCTCCAAACACTGAGCAGCCTCTGTAGCTGGTCATACAGGCAACCCAGTAGGTCAAGGTGCCTATATTTCACCACTTGCTGGGCGCCTCCATGGCCCTGGGCTCCTCTTCCGTGCTGTAATCTAGTGTGTGCAGCACCTGTCTTGGCCACCTGCATCACCAATGTCGACTTGCAGGGTTAAGGAACTGACGTAAACATGCTGACTTCTGGCTAACGATTTTTCTGTGAGTAATTAACTTATTGGGGAAGGAGATGGGGAGAGTGGTTAGATGTCTCACTAGCCTACCAGTTGCTCAGGATTAAAATCCCAGTCATCTTTGACTTTTCTCTTGCCATTGTCCCAAATATCCAATTTGTTTCAACAGCCCATTGTTTCCTCCTCTGATTTTTTTCTGCACCTGCTTTGTCCTCTTTATTTCCACCACCACAAGACTAACTGAGCCCCTCATGCTCTCCATCTCCTTTGGTCTATTGAAACAGACTCCTAACTAACCTACCTTTGCTCAAGATTTCCATTTTACTCTATACGTCAGTTCTGCTTATGTTACTTCTGTTGATCATACCAAAGGCTCCTCATTACTGACAAGATAAGTCTAAACTTTTGATCTGTATTCAAAGTCATCCATGTGGGCCCTCATAGTTATTTAATCCCATTCTATTCTTTAATTGAATACCAAGTGCCTGCTATATCCCAAGTGTGGTAGTAGATGCTCTGAATGCTTCTCAAGGGAAGAGGACACTTTCCTTTCCCTCTAAAAGCTCAAACTCTCTTCTTGGAATGACTTTTGTGATGGTTACAGGATGCTGAATGCTTCAAATGCGTGATCCCTCTTATAGACAAGACATCATGTTCACTTTACTCCAGTTCGCATGGAACGCCATCTTTCCTTCACGACTTTTCTCCATTGTTCATACAGTCCCACTCATGGAATGCTTTCTTCACCCCCTTTATTGAACTCATATTTATCACTGTCCCGAAGACAGCAAGCAACAAATCAGACACATTACATACTCTCAGAGAACAAATAAACAAAGTATATCTGGTGATAGTGTAATATTTAAGAAAAATAAAATAGGTTAAGGAAGAGTCAAACTGGCCAACTCTTGCCCCTTCTTTACACATGAAATTTCTGTAACGATTTTGTAATCCCCACCACTATATGCTAAGCTTTGTTGTGCAAAGGAGTCAGGTATTAATGTCTGGGGGACATGAGGAGTAGTGTGACTAATCCCATTTAAAATACATGGTTGAGAACAACAACAACAAGGAGGACAGCTGATATTTATTGAGCACTGATAACACAAGTATCATCTGTTTAAAACTCCACAATAATTCAATGTGAAACTATTACTATTCCTATAGTATTGATATTTGAAGCATGAAAGGCACTAAGTCGTCTGCTTTTACAATGATGGCAAGTGGCAGAGCTGAGTGAAGGAAGGCAGTCCAGACTTAAGCCTAATCTAAGTGGCATTCTATTAAATGACTGGTGATATTGTGTAGAGTACCCCTGGCAAAAGATGGAAAAAGTGAATGCTGGATGGACACCCTACAATTCTGCATGACAATAGCCTATCTGCCTCCAATCTCCTTTCTTGTAATTCAATCCCTCAAAACTATAAGAATGATCTAACATGAAAGCCCAACTGTGTGGCATTGTCCTGATTCCGTGGCTCCCACTGCTGGAGAGAGAAACCACTGTTATATACTTGCTCTCTGATGAAATATATGAGGTGGTGTTTACTTTGACAGTCAATTTAAGAAAATCACTACACCTAATCTAAGTACCTGGTACAAAAGGAAAAGTTTTTCTTGTGTGTGTGGTTTGTATTGCTAGCCACTATTCAGTCTTTATTGGATATCACCAATAGACTGCCTGCAAGGAAATCTAGTTTTTACATGGAAATTCTTCCTTATGGATATTATAGCAAACTCACTTTAGCACAGATATGCAAAAGGGAGAACAGTTAAACACAAGGGCTTTGGAGCCAGAGGATGGACTCATGGCATCATTACCCTTTAAGCTTCATCAACCTCATCTGCAATTTGAGGAGAACTCCTCCCTCCTAGAGTTGCTCCAAGGATTGAATGAGATAATATATGTAGAGGGCTTAAAATAGTACCTACCTAGAAATTCCTAAGCAAGTGATAGTTATGCATACATCTCTAAGGTTTTTATTGTTCTATATTTTAATCATATTTAGTTACAGCTTAACCCAAGTAGAATACACGGATGCGTTTAACAAAACAAAACAAGCAATATGGGAGAATTTTTTAAATGAGTCCCCTCCCAGAAAAAAGCTATTGCAAAGATATCTTGTTTGCCATTCTAGAATTTTTCTGTGTATATAAAAGCATATGTGTGCTTTCCAAAAAAGAAAAAAAAGAAAAAAGAGAACATCTATGATACAATTCTGTACCTTATTCTTTTTCCCCCCATGGGGATTGTTCCATAATGGGACATATAGATCTACTAAATTCTCTTCCACGGCTATGCAGTATTTCTTTTTTTTTTTTTTTTTGAGACGGAGTCTTGCTGGGTCACCCAGGCTGGAGTGCAGTGGCCGGATCTCAGCTCACTGCAAGCTCCGCCTCCCAGGTTCACGCCATTCTCCTGCCTCAGCCTGCCGGGTAGCTGGGACTACAGGCACCCGCCACCTCGCCTGGCTAGTTTTTTGTATTTTTTAGTAGAGACGGGGTTTCACCGTGTTAGCCAGGATGGTCTCGATCTTCTGACCTCGTGATCCGCCTGTCTCGGCCTCCCAAAGTACTGGGATTACAGGCTTGAGCCACCGCGCCCGGCCGGCTATGCAGTATTTCAATATGTAAAGGTAGCATTAATCATTTAGCAAGTTCTCTATTGATGGACACATGTTGTTTTGACATTTTCTATGAGAAAATAACATTTCAATGAATACGTTTTTATGATTACTACTATAGAATTTACTTCTAGAGGTGGAATTGTTAGGTCAAATGCTATCAGCATTCAAAATTTTTATAGTTCTTGTTCAACTGCCCTCAGAAGAAGCTGAAATAATGTATACTCCCACCCCATTGCCATATAGAGAAGCTATATAAACTTTTTAGAAACCATTTCATTTTTCAAAGTCAGTTTTCTCACTGCCCCAGGAAATCCCAAGCTATGTTCCCGTCTCCTTGCCTGTAATCTTGTACTCCTAGCCTAGAATTCCCCTTCTCAATGGAATCTACCTGCATTAGTAGGACTCATTCAGTTGCAAGTGACAAAACTCAAATGAAACTAGCTCGAGGAAATTTAAAAGGTGGATGTTGGGGGATAATTCTTGAGAGGATCCTGGGTAGTTGACAGAATTGACAGATGAGCTGCAGGTTCTGGGACAGTCCTGGAGACTTTGGGGACTGGAGCCTGCACACTCCTCTTCTCATCCATTCTAAACCCTGCTGTCTCTGTATGACTTAATTCTCTTCTGTGGTGAACTGGTGCACCCCATAACTGTCAAAACTGTAAAACTTTACATAAATGGTAGCAATCGATAAATGCAAACTTCAAAAGACATTTGGCACTGGTGACTTATGGCTACTCCCACTTTCAGGGTCCTCTTATCTTTCATTAGATAGAATTCAGTGGAGAAGTTTAGAAAGCACTGGCCGAATGTCCAGAAAAGTCATTCTCCTCAAATTTCAAGGAGCCAGAATTCACTGTTACTCCTTACAATAATGTCTTTTAAATAAAAATTGTCCAGCAACAATTCCAGGATCGGCCGGGCGTGGTGGCTCACGCCTGTAATCCCAGCACATTGGGAGACTGAGGCGGGTGGATCACTGGAGGTCAGGGATTCGAGATCAGCCTGGCCAACATGGCAAAACCCTGTCTCTACTAAAAATACAAAAAATTAGCTGGGCATGGTGGTGCACACCTATAATCGCAGCTACTCAGGAGGCTGAGGCGTGAAAATCGCTTGGACCCGGGAGGCGGAGGTTGCAGTGAGCCGAGATGGTGCTACTGCACTCCAGCCTGGGTGACAGAACGAGACACCCTCTCAAAAAAATAAAAACAATTTCAGGATCATCTCTTTCCCCACCTGTATGACTAAAACGCTTTGGTAGTTCCCCTTCCTTGCGCTCTCCGTGGTCCTGAACCATCTTGAGCTCTGTTTTAGAGTCCCTCGAAATGTAATAGGAGGGGAAACAGCGAATAGAAAAAATGAGGCTATTCGGGGAGAAAAGAAATGGCTTTTATTTTGGCAATTTTTAAATACTCTCAGTTATCAACAAATAAACGACAACCAACCACGGACAGAATGAAAGAGAGCAAGCAATTTTGTGGGAAACGTTAATCTGAGCAAATATCCACATGCACAAGCAAGGTCACCTGGGGGAGTGGGGCGAGTCACCATGTGGCAAAGGTGAGATGAGTCCTCTGCCATTCTCAGTTGACCTATAATAAATTGTACACAGATTAGTTTTACTTTTGCTTTTATATCATGATGGAAAAACTGCAAAATGAAAACAACAGTAACATTAGTTTTACAACTCCCAGGGATGTGTTTAAGTATACAGCTGGCCCTTGAACAGCAGAGGTTTGAATGGCATGGGTCCATTTATCCACAATTTTCTTCTACCTCTGCCACCACTGAGACAGCAAGACCAAACCCTCTTCTTCTTCCCCCTCCTCAGCCTACTCAATCTGAGGATGATGAGGATGAAGATCTTTAGGATGCTCCACTTTCACTTAAGGAGTAGTAAATATATTTTTTTCCTTATGATTCTCTTAACATTCACTTTTTGTGTGTGTGTGTGAGATGGAGTCTTGCTCTTTTGCCCAGGCTGGAGTGAAGTGGTGTGATCTCGGCTCACTGCAACTTCTGTCCCCCCGGGTTCAAGTGATTCTCCTGCCTCAGCCTCACAAGTACCTGAGATTATAGGCGCCCGCCACCACACCCAGCTAATTTTTGTATTTTTAGTAGAGACGGGGTTTCGTCATGTTGGCCAGGCTGATCTCGAACTCCTGACCTCAGGTGATCCATTCACCTTGGCCTTCCAAAGTGCTAGGATTATAGGCATGAGCCACCGTGCCCAGTCAACATTCACTTTTCTCTAGTTTATTTTATTTTAAAAATACAGTATAAAATGCAGATACAAAATATGTGCTAATCAACTGCATTATCAGTAAAGTTTCTGGTCAATGGTAGGCTATTAGAAGTTAAGTTTTTGGAGAGTCTAAAGTTATATGCAGATTTTCAACTTTGTGGAGTTGCCACTCCTAATGCCTGCATTGTTCAAGAATCAACTATATTTTGTAGTTCTATAGAGATTCCAAGAGTTATGTTATGGTTTTTACACCTTGGTAAATTGTGTGTCCTGCCAATGACATGGTGATTTTATGTTACATTATTATTATATTGTTGGGTATTTATGTATTTTACATAAGATTTTATTTCACATTTTCCAACTTAAAACTAGGTGTTGGTATTGGTATTTGTCTTTTGCACTAAATTACCTTACATTAATCTTTTAAAATAATTTTTAAAAAGATGAAAGCTATTATTTGTTATTTTGTAAGTTTTAAATCAGTAAAGACTAATAAATCCAGAAGTATATTCCTAGATATAAACTTTAGTCTAAAAGATTTAAAAATATTTGGTTTAAAAATTAGGACATATCTTGGTAATTTTTCCTATTAATATGAATATCTCTCTCTCCCTCTCTCAAAATCTTAAGAATGTTTAGAAGTCCAATCTTAGAGACAAGAAGACTAAATTGCATAGTGAGACTAAATATAGCATCCACTGTACTTTAGTATCTCTATCCTCACAGGAATTTTTCAAGTTAAAGTTATTTAGGAAATATGAAGTACGTTGCCATAATTATTCCTACAAACTCTACTAACCTACTGTACACATTTGAGTATGTTGAACTTTTGTGATTCAACTAAAGAATTCAGTCAGATCATAAACATTGTGTGCATCTGCGATCAATGTTAGTATCTTACACATAACACAAACATGATGCTAGATCTTATGTCAATTCCAAGTCTTCTTCTGACTTGATCATCAGCAGCAATTGACTCAGTTGTTCACTCTCTTTTTCCTGATACAGTGTCTTCCTTTTGCCTAAAAGAGAGCAACTTTACGGTTGTTCTTCTGTCTCCCTTGCTGGCATCTTTGTCCTATTCTTTTCTCTATCTACTTTCTCTCTTGATGATTTTATCCAGTATTATGGGCTTTAAATCCCACTCATAGGCTGACAACCTTTACATTTATACTTTGAGCCCAGACTCATCTTTTCAACTCTAGTCTCATGTATACAAATGCCTACTTGATATCTCCACTTGGAGGATCAATAAGCACCTGAAACTCAACATGTCTAGAACCAAACTCCTGATCTTCCCCCATCTTCCCCATTCCTGTTCAGTCACAGTCTTTCAATCTGTGGTAGTTTAAAACAATGACTACAAGTGTTTTTTTTTTGTTGTTGTTGTTTGTTTGTTTTTTTGACACTACTTCCATCAAGAACTGTGGTCCAAGTTTCTTGCCCTTTTATCTGGGTGGGCTCATGTCTACTTTGATCAATAGGATACATACAGTAGAAATGAAGCTCTGACTTCTGAGATAAGATCACAAAAGGCTACACAACTTCTCTCTGATTCTCTTGGAACACCTCCTCTCTAGAAGCTCCCTCTTGGCATGTTAACTCTTGAGATGGTCTCTCTTCAGACGCTCACCTTTGAAATCCAGCCTCCACGCTGTGAAAAGTCCAAGTCACATGGAGAGACCAGATGTAAGTACTCTACTTGATGTAGCCTTCAGTCATTCTAACCCAGGTGCCAAATACATTAGTGAACAATGTTTCAAATGATTCCAGGCTCCTGCCTTTCAGGTCAAATAGTTCCACAACCATCTGAGCCATCCCAACCGGGACACAGACAAGCCATCCACACAGTGCCCTGTCTGAATTCCTGGCCCATAGAATCCTAGAGTATAATAAAAGAGTTGATGTTTCATAATTATTTCTTTTTTTTTGAGACGGAGTCTCACTCCGTCACCCAGGCTGGAGTGCAGTGGCGCAGTCTCGCCTCACTGCAAGCTCCGCCTCCCGGGTTCACGCCATTCTCCTGCCTCAGCCTCCCGAGTAGCTGGGACTACAGGCGCCCGCCGCCACACCCGGCTAATTTTTTTGGTATTTTTAGTAGAGACGGGGTTTCACCGTGTTAGCTGGGATGGTCTCGATCTCCTGACCTTGTGATCCGCCCGCCTCGGCCTCCCAAAGTGCTGGGATTACAGGCATGAGCCACCACGCCCGACCTCATAATTATTTCTTTAGAGCAGTTTCTTAACCCAGCCATAGAAAACTGATACACTGTCTCAGTTGATGGGGATTTTATCTTTTTAGTTGTACAAGTAAAAAAACATCTTGGAGTCATCCTACATTCTTTTTCTTCCATGTCACATCCAAACCACCTGCAAATCCTGCTGATGCTGCCCTCAGAATATATTCAGAACTTTATTACTTCTCACCATCTTTACTAATGACCATAATCTCTTGACCATATTTCTGCAGTAGCCTTTTATGAGGTCTGTTTCTGCCATTATCCCTGTCCTCCCCTCAACAGTCTATTCCAACAGAGCTTCCAGAGTGTCCTTTTTTTTTTTTTTTTTTTTTACAGAGTCTCGCTGTTACTCAGGCTAGAGTGCAGTGGCGCGATCTCGGCTCACTGCAATTTCTGCCTCTCTGGTTCATGTGATTCTACTGACTCAGACCCCCGGAGTAGCTGGGACTACAGGTGCTTGCCACCATGCCTGCCTCGGCTTCCCAAAGTGCTGGGATTACAGGCCTGAGCCATGGAGCCCGGCCCAGAGTGTCTTTAAAATATGTCAAATTACATCACTGCTCTATTATACACCCTCCGGTGGTTTCCACTCACAGAGTAAAAACCGAAGTCCTTACAAAGGCCTACATGATCCCTTATGATTGTGTCCACTGTTATCTCACTAAGCGTGCTTCCTCCTATTCTCCCCTTCCTCACTCTGCTCCCAGTGCACTTACCTCCTCACTCTCCTAGAATGTGCCACATGCCCTCCAGTCAGGAGCTCTTTGCATTGGCCATTTCCTCTGCATGGAACATTTCTTCATCATAGTAAATATTTGTTGAATGAATTAAGGGGAATTAGCCCTTAAAATTTTAATTTCCTAGGAATCAAAGATATTTGTTTGGTAAATTAAGAAATACAAAATAGGAACATTTTATCTAGTTTTTATGAAACTAATGTTATTAATAAAACTAATAATTTAAATTCCTAGTAAGCAGTTTTTGAAAATTTGTCTTCTTTATAAAAGAAAACAGCTATTTTCTCCTTTAACCCCAATCCAAAACTGATGCAAATATAAAATACAAATTTATAAGAATATATTTTAAATATATTTATAATCTCTAACTTCTTTTCCTCCAATACTTTATATAGCAAACAACATTAGCTCAATTATTACAATGAAAATAATATTGGGAAGTGAGGATACATGTCTATTTTTAAAAACAGTAACTCAATCACATTCAATGTTCTTAATTTGCCTTTTGCCTGTCTTTAGATTTCCACTGTATGAAAACTGTAAGTGCATCAGATCTTATTGCTTCGGAGGAACAGACTGGTGCCCAACCACTTAAGAAAAAAAGCAGTAAAAAACCATTCTTGGTTACTACCAAAAATAATGTTAAGTAAACTTGAATCCATTGGAAGCATTGTGAATTTCCTCCTTAGGTGTTCTATGGGTGGTGCAGCCAAGGATCTAGAGATGATCATTGTTCTGTTGTTTTTGAATTCAGAAATATTCAGATAGAAAGTTGGTGTTTTCAAACTGTAGGTCATGACACCTTAGTGTGCTGGGAAATGAATTTAGTGGGTCTTAGAAAGCATTAAAAGAAAAAGAGAAAGTGTGAGATTGAGAGAAAGAGAGAGAAAAAGAAAGGGTAAAAAGATCTGAGTGCATTGCAGGTAGTAAGGCTAAGTTGTATTTAGTCATGAGTGAGTCTGACTGTGTGTGTATGCACTGATGTACAATGTGTTTCTAAGTGTATCTTTACTGCAGGTCATGGTCAAAAGTTTTAAAGTCACTGCAGTAAAATATTTCAGAAAAACTATTGACCAAAGTTGTGACAGTTGCTGGAGGTCAATATTGCATATATTTCCTAATATCTTCATTTGTAATCTAGGATTTTAGAGATAGGCCAATCAGTGGGTTTCAAATATTAGCATACATAAAACTCACGGAGGTGGGAATGGGAAATGGTCACACACATGTAGGTCACACATTGACCTACAGAAGATCTGATTTAGAAGCGTCAGAGGTGGGATGCAGGAAGCTTTGATCTGAACAATTCCACAGGCGATTCTGATATAGGTAACCCTCTGCCCACTTGTAGAGTCAGACCAGACAACACCATAGGTAGTGATGTAATTACAAATCTCTTAAGTTCAAATTAACTTGTATCTTCCCAATCCACACAAAGCTAATGTCCTTAAGCTTCTAGTTAGTTTTTTTTTTTTTTTTTCCTTTCTTAAAATGAAGAACCTTGGACTGATGAGACCCAGTAAAAAGAATAAGGAGGAGGAGGAGGGGGAGGAGGAGGGGGAGAAGGAGGAGAAGGAGGAGGGGGCAGGGGAGAAAGAGAGAGATGGTCCTTAACCTTGCAGTTAAGGAGAGGATGTGGGAAGAATGAGGGGAACATGGTGACCCAGCAATTCTTTGTTAGTGAAACCAACTAGTTCTACCACCAGACCCTGCCAAGTGAATAGAGAGCATGGGACATCCATCATTACTGAGAAAAAGAGATGATTATTCGCCTTGCAATTGAGGAGGGGATGTGAGAAGAATGAGGGGGCCATGGTGACCCAGCAATTGTTTGTTAGTACGACCACAGTAAAACCAACTAGCTCTACCTCTAGATCCTGCCCACTGAATAGAGGGCATGAGACATTCTTCATTACTGAAATTCACATTAAAAAATAAACAAATGAAGTTGAGGGATTACTGTGAAGACATTTTTGGGCTATCAAATTTTAGACTTTAAATATAAATTTAAATTTAGAAAGTTTAGAGGGCACTGCACCAAAAAGACAAATTTAAGATAAAGAAGGGGGCAAAACCAGCAAAAGGTGTTGTAAAGTCTGCAAATCTTTCTAAGCATGTGCTTCTCTAGATATAACACTTGGCTCTTCAAATATAAGAAACAGTGGCTGGGCATCGTGGCTCGCACCTGTAATCCCAACACTTTGGGAGGCCGAGACGGGTGGGTTACCTGAGGTCAGGAGTTCAAGACTAGCCAGGCCAACATGGTGAAACCGCGTATCTACTAAACATACAAAATTTAGCTGGGTGTGGTGGTGCATGCCTGTAATCCCAGCTACTCAGGAGACTGAGGCAGGAGAATTGCCTCAACCTGGGAGGCGGAGGTTGCAGTGAGCTGAGATCGCGCCACTGAACCCCAGCCTGGGTAACAGAGTGAGATGTGAGACTCTGCCGAAAGAAAGAAAGAGAGAGAGAGAGAGAGAGAGAGAAAGCAAGCAAGCAAGCGAGCTGGAGGTTCTTTCTCTGGATTAAATGACCAAAAACACTACTGGCATTGTCTAAGATAACAAATTGACTGGCAGACCCCTGATTCTTATCAAACAAGACTGTAAAAGAAAATGAGAATATAATAGTTAAGGAAATCAAGAAAATTAAAAAAGGAAAAGCTAGTCGTCTTTTTATTCATATTTAGAGACAAAGTCTCACTCTGTCAACCAGGCTGGAGTGCAGTGGCATGATCATAGCTCACAGCAACCTTGAACTCCTGGACTCAAGGTTCTTTCTGCCTCTGCCTCCCAAATTGCTGGGATGACAAGCATGAGCTACTATGCCTGGACCAGGACCAAGTTTTTTAGACAAATATCACTTATGGATTCTCCCCACCGCCCCCAAAACCACCAATTAATCACTAGAATTTCTGAAGTGAAAGAATTAAACAGTGGCATGGAGTTTTCACCTCCCTCCTTTCCTCCAACCCCATCCATCTGTTTATTTCATGCTTTATTTGCTCCCCAAACAGCAAATGTTTTGAAATCATCTGTTGAGGGCATTACTGTCTTTCCGAAATCCCATGTTAGTTCTTGGTGCATTTATTTTCCCTCAGTTCTCTAGAATAGATGAGGGATGAAATCAAGATGAGAGCAGAACTGGATTCTCACTAGCTGATTGCCAGTAATTGATTTTCTTCAAAGGAAAATCAATTCATATTGGGAGATTCATGCAGGTTTGGGTCATTGCCTGCTCTACCCAGTTGTAGTAAACAGTTCACAGGTGAAGATCTTTGTCGACTGGTTAAGGCTGTGCATTTGCCAATTCTGGAAGTATATAATTACAATTTTTTTTGTATTTAAGTCAATGATTCTTAAATTTTAATGTAAATAATAATCTCTTGTAATGCTGCTTAAACTGTGAATGCAGGGGGGCCCATATATCGCTAAGAGATTTTGGTTCAGTAGGACTGGGATGAGGTAAGAAATCTCCATTTTTAATTACACCTTGGAAAACACTAACACAACTGTTTGATAATAACTCTTCATGCTTACCAGAAAGATTTGATGCCTGTTACTGAAAAGAGAGAAGCCCAAACACAATGATGCCTCAGTTAAGTAGAATTTTTCTTGCTATTGTTCTCTTCATACATGTATATAATACTAAAGTATGAGTGCCTTGCTTGCATATCACAGCACCAAATTATTGTGTCTTTCAATTAAGCATCAGTCGTTAGAACTATGCTACTTACCCAGCAGAATCAGCACCACCTAGAGTATGTTAAAAATGCAATGCTTCAGCCTGCCCTTGACCTTCTGCATTTAACCAGACCCTGCATTTTAACAAGATCCTAGGGTTTGAGAAACCCTGATCTAGCCGATTTACAAGCCAAGTGTGACTTTTCAGCTCACTTTTAATTGGCCTATTTTATATTTTTTAAATAAAACAGATGAAAGATTTTAATTACATGAGAAAACAAAGTTTTTAAGGGAAGAGGCACCTTTCAGACTCCCAAATTGTACTGTCTGTGACTAATAATGTTTATGTCAGAAGGCAATTGGTTGTTATGTGATCTCATTTGCCCTGTGCCTATTTTTTCCACAAAAGACAGCATAGTGCTCTGTGCTTGTGATCATCTGCCATTTTCAATGTAAGTTTCCTGTGGGCAGCATGTCTTTGATATCTAAATCCTCAGTGTCCAGCCTAGTGCCTAACGCAAGTAGGTGTTCCAAAATACTTGAGTGGGATAAAAAGTGCCAAGTATCTGAGTTATAGCCCATTTCAAGTTCAAGCTTAAGGCTCCTCTCTTCTGTAAAAATTTAGTTAGTTATTTCTTCCACCATGAAAGTAAATACCAATTGTTTGTTATTCGACATCTCTCTCTCTGTCTCTCTCTCTCACACACACACATTTTAGTCATCAATTATTATTTTGTACTCTTTTATTACTCCATCAAAGCTGTAAGAAGCTGTCTTTTTATGTATTTCATATTGCCTTGCAGAGTAGGCATTCAAATGCTTGTTACTATTGAGCCATCTTAAAATAAAAATACATCTTAAAGTGAGAAAATCCACATTCAGTTGTCCTTCAAGCCCTGTTCTAAATTGCCAAAATTAATTCTAAGAGATGCCGGTATTTAAACAGCTCCTCCAGTTATGACCCATACATCTTAAGGAAAACATATGTTTTGATACAAGCAGTGTTTTATAATTTTGAAATGTTTAGTTTTACATCTACCCAACTCAAGCCCTTTACAGATATATGTAATAATCTATAAATTTTGCATTATTTTCCTGGTAGTATCATACATAAACCAATAATTCAATTTTAAAGCTAGTTGTAGAGGTATTGCCCCAAAGCGCATCCATAGCATGTAAACTCTTAACTCCTTTAATTAGTATTGTATTAGTGACATCAACATAGCTGTTGCAATGTTGTGATGAATCACTATTTTAGCCCTCTTTTAAAATGCACCTTAGCGTATTACGCAAATCGGCTCTAACTCTCCTATAGATGGCAGCATCGAGCAACAGATTTTAGTAACAGCTTGTTCTTCTGTTCCGTGAATTTTCAGTGAGGAGTAAATTTTCCATACAGTGTATTTCATTACAATACACCAAAAGACTAATTTAGCTTAGGTGGCAGAATAATATTCATACCTGCTCTGCATTACTTCAGTGAGTTCCCATAAACGCGTCTTTTTCTATTCTATATATTACATGAACCAAATGTAAATGCATTTCCAGTTAGCCCATTAATTTAAAAAAATGTAGAGAACAATTGAATTTACTGTAGTATAATTATAACAAATGTTAACCACCTTTAAATTGGTAGTAAAACATCAGCAAGTAGAAAAATGGCACTAATATCCTATGATCAGTGACTATCTTCCATAGGAAACCCATGGGTCTGAACATAATTTGTCACAGCAGTGCGGTTTATTTCATAATTTTATCGAATATTTAGCAACTGAAATTGTGTTTTTTAAAGCAAAAATGCTTTAACACTGAGAGATATATTTTTAAAACGGTTTATTATCATAATTAGCTTTTTATGATCAAAATCCTTCCTATGAAGATAATTGTAAAATACATGCAAATAAATTTTCCAACCCTCCCCTCCTTCTAGAAAAGAGTATTTTTTCCCCCATAGAGGTACAGTACCTTTATTTAGCTTTTTTTTTGGTGGGGAAGGGGGGAGGTTGGAGGGATGAAGGTAGGGACCGGGCCATTTGAAAAGTAAATGTGTATGGATTTGATTTGTTGTCTTACAAAACGTTAAATACTCCACTACCCCCATCGCAGCGCTAAACATCAAACCTGTAAAAAGCCCTTTGGCCTTATCTGGATTACATTTTTACTAGTAAACAACCCTTTTATCATCTCTCTTTTTTCTTGTCTAGGGTAAAACCAGGCACACAGTTACACTTTTCCACCAACTTCAGGCGTCTCTATTCTTCACCTCCCTGCCCCACCCTCCATAAGGCACTCTATACCCCCAGAATTTCGGTCACTGTGAGCGCCGCCTCGCTTCCATTTCCAAATATCTGCTATTAATAGCCTTGCTATAGTGGGCACGTGTGCCCACATCACCAAGTTGTCAGAGGAAAAGAAGGGAGGGCTTTCAATTCAACATGTGTACTCAAATTATAGATTAACCAGGTTTAGATGAGGCTGCAGAACGACCGGGAACAGGAAGGAGAGAGGAGAAACGGGAGGCTCCCAGGCTTGGGTAGGGAGGAGCCCCTCTGCAGATGCCCAATCCCCCTAATTTACGTATCGCACGCCTCTGAATGGCGCTTATGGTTCTTTTTCTCCTTCATCATCATCATCTTCTTCTTTTTCTTTTTCTTTTTTTACTACGCTTTGCAACCTACCTTGGTACCCTCAACCCTTCTCCCCCACCTTCCCTCTGCAGTGCAAGGCTTGAAAAACAGGCCATCCCACCAATCAGCAGGCCGCCCAGGGAAACTCGCCCCGCCCCTCAGCCCGCATTGGGCCGAGGCGCGCTCCCCCGCGGCCCGGAGGGTCCGGGCCACTGAGCATGCCCAGCGCCTGGACTGCAGAGTGCCCCGCCAGCATCCTGCAGTGCCTGGGAGCCCCAGGCCGAGGAGGGTCTCGTAGTAGTAAATGGGCGGCAACCCCAAACGGGCCGGGCATCAAAATGAGACAGCATTAAACCGAGTGACATCTGTGTGGGTCCTTAGTGCCAGGCGAGCAAGCAGGGACAAACTGCTTGTTTATAGGTCAGCTTAAAAAATAAAAAAACTTTGGGGAACATTTGTTTGTGGGGAGACTGATACCGCAAGGTGACCCTGAAAGGGGCGCTTCAAGGAGACCCAGGCTGCTGATCTGGTCCATTCATGAAATACCCATTTTCCTATACAGTTGAGCTGGCACCATCCTTGTTTTCTCCCTATTATCCTTGTGGTCAAGGTTAAAAATTTATAGGGTGGTTCAATGGGTGTGGGAGCTGTGTGTGAAAAAAACATTTCAGCCAATATTTGCACAGTAGGGTTTTGGCCTTATGAACCCTCTGAAGGTCCCTAACAGCTTTTTAAAGTCACGGATAGACTTAGGAATATGATAAGGGACCTCTCATTTCCCCTCCCCCATGCCCTCAGCCTTATGTGTGAATCCCCCCTCACTCGGATGGGCAAGGGGAGCAGGAGAAACGGTGATATTTACATTTTCTCCCTAATTGATCAGCAGCTAATCCCACAGCGCCGGATGTGAGACACTTCCTGGGGATCCCTGTTCTCCTTTTGCAGTGACCATAACTGCTCCGAGTCACTGCCCTTCGGCGTCCCTCTGTGCCTTCCAGGTACCTCACGGCAGCAAATCTGGAGATCCCAAGGTGGAGGGCTGGCCCAGAAGTCCTTTAGAAAACCTTACAAAAATACAGATCCCCTCACCATGGCCTATCGCCCTGAAGCCGAAATGTAGCTTTTAAATTTCCTGGGAGAAAAAGCCTTGACTAGAAACCTCCCTCCCGTGGGTAAGTCTTACCTGCTAGGTAAGAGGCAGCCCAGCTCCCGCGCCCCCGCCTTCCCCCGGTCTCCCACTCGGGGCTCTGTAGCCGCAGTGCCCCCCCCCCCGTCGCCCCCCACCCTCACTCCTGCGTCTTCTCGAGCTCGCCCCCTCCCGTTTTCCCAGACTCCCCTCGTGCGTTCGGGTAGCCACCCAAACACCCCCGCCCGCGCCCACCGCGGGGATTCCTGCGGGCCAGGGGCGCCCTGGGTGGCGCGCGGTGAGGGAGGCGCTGCGCCTGGGCTGGCGGCCGCGCAGGGGCGCTGTCCTAGCGCTGCGCCGGGGCTCGGCGCGGGCGCCGCTGCAGTACGGCCGGGGGGCGGAGAGGGGCGGGCGCGGGGCGGGCTCGGCCCGGAATGTAGAGACCCGGGCGGGAGCCTCCCGGCGGCGGCGGCTGCCCGGCTGCCGAGCGCGGAGGCTCCGTCACGTGTTTTTCTCCTCCGAGTGAGACGGCGGCGCGGTCGGAGGGGGCCGGCGCGCAGAGCCAGACGCCGCCGCTTGTTTTGGTTGGGGCTCTCGGCAACTCTCCGAGGAGGAGGAGGAGGAGGGAGGAGGGGGGAAGTAACTGCAGCGGCAGCGCCTCCCTAGGAACAGGCGTCTTCCCCGAACCCTTCACAAACCTCCCCCATCGCCTCTCGCCCTTGTCCCCTCCCCTCCTCCCCTGCCGACTGGAGCGAGGGGCAGGGATGAGCCTGTCCCTCCGGTCGGTCCCCAGCTGCACTGGCTGCCCGGTAGCGTTGCGCATGGAAAAGCCACTTTCTCCGCCCGCCGAGATGGGCCCGAATGGGGGCTGCAAAGGACGCGCCCGCGGGCGGCGGCAGCAGCAGCAGCAGCAGCAACAGCCGCAGCGCCGCGGTCTCTGCGATTGAGCTGGTATTTGGGCGGCTGGTGGCGGCTGGGACGGTTGGGGGGTGGGAGGAGGCGAAGGAGGAGGGAGAACCCCGTGCAACGTTGGGACTTGGCAACCCGCCTCCCCCTGCCCAAGGATATTTAATTTGCCTCGGGAATCGCTACTTCCAGAGGGGAACTCAGGAGGGAAGGCGCGCGCGCGCGCTCCTGGAGGGGCACCGCAGGGACCCCCGACTGTCGCCTCCCCGCGCCGGACTCCAGCTGGGGCGACGAGAGATGCATCTTCGCTCCTTCCTGGTGGCGGCGGCGACTGAGAGGAGACTTGGCTCTCGGAGGATCGGGGCTGTCCTCACCCCGGACGCACTGCCTCCCCGCCGGGCGTGAAGCGCCCGAAAACTCCGGTCGGGCTCTCTCCTTGGCTCAGCAGCTGCGTCCTCCTTCAGCAGCCCCTCCCCGGCGCGGGGGGCGGCGTGGATTTCGGAGTCGGGGTTTCTGCTGCCTCCAGCCCTGTTTGCATGTGCGGGGCCGCAGCGAGGAGCCTCCGCCCCCCACCCGGTTGTTTTTCGGCGCCTCCCTCTGCTCAGTGGCGGTGGCGGCGGCAGCAGCATGGCGAGCCCTCCGGAGAGCGATGGCTTCTCGGACGTGCGCAAGGTGGGCTACCTGCGCAAACCCAAGAGCATGCACAAACGCTTCTTCGTACTGCGCGCGGCCAGCGAGGCTGGGGGCCCGGCGCGCCTCGAGTACTACGAGAACGAGAAGAAGTGGCGGCACAAGTCGAGCGCCCCCAAACGCTCGATCCCCCTTGAGAGCTGCTTCAACATCAACAAGCGGGCTGACTCCAAGAACAAGCACCTGGTGGCTCTCTACACCCGGGACGAGCACTTTGCCATCGCGGCGGACAGCGAGGCGGAGCAAGACAGCTGGTACCAGGCTCTCCTACAGCTGCACAACCGTGCCAAGGGCCACCACGACGGAGCTGCGGCCCTCGGGGCGGGAGGTGGCGGGGGCAGCTGCAGTGGCAGCTCCGGCCTTGGTGAGGCTGGGGAGGACTTGAGCTACGGTGACGTGCCCCCAGGACCCGCGTTCAAAGAGGTCTGGCAGGTGATCCTGAAGCCCAAGGGCCTGGGTCAGACAAAGAACCTGATTGGTATCTACCGCCTCTGCCTGACCAGCAAGACCATCAGCTTCGTGAAGCTGAACTCGGAGGCAGCCGCCGTGGTGCTGCAGCTGATGAACATCAGGCGCTGCGGCCACTCGGAGAACTTCTTCTTCATCGAGGTGGGCCGTTCTGCCGTGACGGGGCCCGGGGAGTTCTGGATGCAGGTGGATGACTCCGTGGTGGCCCAGAACATGCACGAGACCATCCTGGAGGCCATGCGGGCTATGAGCGATGAGTTCCGCCCTCGCAGCAAGAGCCAGTCCTCGTCCAACTGCTCCAACCCCATCAGCGTCCCCCTGCGCCGGCACCATCTCAACAATCCCCCGCCCAGCCAGGTGGGGCTGACCCGACGATCTCGCACTGAGAGCATCACTGCCACCTCCCCGGCCAGCATGGTGGGCGGGAAACCAGGCTCCTTCCGCGTCCGCGCCTCCAGTGACGGTGAAGGCACCATGTCCCGCCCAGCCTCGGTGGATGGCAGCCCTGTGAGTCCGAGCACCAACAGAACCCACGCCCACCGGCATCGGGGCAGTGCCCGGCTGCACCCCCCGCTCAACCACAGCCGCTCCATCCCCATGCCAGCTTCCCGCTGCTCGCCTTCGGCCACCAGCCCCGTCAGTCTGTCGTCCAGCAGCACCAGCGGCCATGGCTCCACCTCGGATTGTCTCTTCCCACGGCGATCTAGTGCTTCGGTGTCTGGTTCTCCCAGCGATGGCGGTTTCATCTCCTCAGATGAGTATGGCTCCAGTCCCTGCGATTTCCGGAGTTCCTTCCGCAGTGTCACTCCGGATTCCCTGGGCCACACCCCACCAGCCCGCGGTGAGGAGGAGCTAAGCAACTATATCTGCATGGGCGGCAAGGGGCCCTCCACCCTGACCGCCCCCAACGGTCACTACATTTTGTCTCGGGGTGGCAATGGTCACCGCTACACCCCAGGAACAGGCTTGGGCACGAGTCCAGCCTTGGCTGGGGATGAAGCATCCAGTGCTGCGGATCTGGATAATCGCTTCCGAAAGAGAACTCACTCTGCAGGCACATCCCCTACCATTACCCACCAGAAGACCCCGTCCCAGTCCTCAGTGGCTTCCATTGAGGAGTATACAGAGATGATGCCTGCCTACCCACCAGGAGGTGGCAGTGGAGGCCGACTGCCGGGACACAGGCACTCTGCCTTCGTGCCCACCCACTCCTACCCAGAGGAGGGTCTGGAAATGCACCCCTTGGAGCGTCGGGGGGGCCACCACCGCCCAGACAGCTCTACCCTCCACACTGATGATGGCTACATGCCCATGTCCCCAGGGGTGGCCCCAGTGCCCAGCAGCCGAAAGGGCAGTGGAGACTATATGCCCATGAGCCCCAAGAGCGTGTCTGCCCCACAGCAGATCATCAATCCCATCAGACGCCATCCCCAGAGAGTGGACCCCAATGGCTACATGATGATGTCCCCCAGCGGTGGCTGCTCTCCTGACATTGGAGGTGGCCCCAGCAGCAGCAGCAGCAGTGCTGTCCCTTCCGGGAGCAGCTATGGAAAGCTGTGGACAAACGGGGTAGGGGGCCACCATTCTCATGTCTTGCCTCACCCCAAACCCCCAGTGGAGAGCAGCAGTGGCAAGCTCTTACCTTGCACAGGTGACTACATGAACATGTCACCAATGGGGGACTCCAACACCAGCAGCCCCTCCGACTGCTACTATGGCCCTGAGGACTCGCAGCACAAGCCAGTCCTCTCGTACTACTCATTGCCAAGATCCTTTAAGCACACCCAGCGCCCTGGGGAGCCGGAGGAGGGTGCCCGGCATCAGCACCTCCGCCTTTCCGCTAGCTCTGGTCGCCTTCTCTATGCTGCAACAGCGGATGATTCTTCCTCCTCCACCAGCAGCGACAGCCTGGGTGGGGGATACTGTGGGGCTAGGCTGGAGCCCAGCCTTCCACATTCCCACCATCAGGTTCTGCAGCCCCATCTGCCTCGAAAGGTGGACACAGCTGCTCAGACCAATAGCCGCCTGGCCCGGCCTACGAGGCTGTCCCTGGGGGATCCCAAGGCCAGCACCTTACCTCGGGCCCGAGAGCAGCAGCAGCAGCAGCAGCAGCAGCAGCAGCAGCAGCAACAGCAGCAACAGCAGCCCCTGCTGCACCCTCCGGAGCCCAAGAGCCCAGGGGAATATGTGAATATTGAATTTGGGAGTGATCAGCCTGGCTACTTGTCTGGCCCGGTGGCTTCCCGTAGCTCACCTTCTGTCAGGTGTCCATCCCAGCTCCAGCCAGCTCCCAGAGAGGAAGAGACTGGCACTGAGGAGTACATGAAGATGGACCTGGGGCCGGGCCGGAGGGCAGCCTGGCAGGAGAGCACTGGGGTCGAGATGGGCAGACTGGGCCCCGCACCTCCCGGGGCTGCTAGCATTTGCAGGCCTACCCGGGCAGTGCCCAGCAGCCGGGGTGACTATATGACCATGCAGATGAGTTGTCCCCGCCAGAGCTATGTGGACACCTCGCCAATTGCCCCTGTAAGCTATGCTGACATGCGGACAGGCATTGCTGCAGAGGAGGTGAGCCTGCCCAGGGCCACCATGGCTGCTGCCTCCTCATCCTCAGCAGCCTCTGCTTCCCCCACTGGGCCTCAAGGGGCAGCAGAGCTGGCTGCCCACTCATCCCTGCTGGGGGGCCCACAAGGACCTGGGGGCATGAGCGCCTTCACCCGGGTGAACCTCAGTCCTAACCGCAACCAGAGTGCCAAAGTGATCCGTGCAGACCCACAAGGGTGCCGGAGGAGGCATAGCTCCGAGACCTTCTCCTCAACACCCAGTGCCACCCGGGTGGGCAACACAGTGCCCTTTGGAGCCGGGGCAGCAATAGGGGGTGGTGGCGGTAGCAGCAGCAGCAGCGAGGATGTGAAACGTCACAGCTCTGCTTCCTTTGAGAATGTGTGGCTGAGGCCTGGGGAACTTGGGGGAGCCCCCAAGGAGCCAGCCCAACTGTGTGGGGCTGCTGGGGGTTTGGAGAATGGTCTTAACTACATAGATCTGGATTTGGTCAAGGACTTCAAACAGCACCCTCAGGAGTGCACCCCTCAACCGCAGCCTCCCCCACCCCCACCCCCTCATCAACCCCTGGGTAGCAGTGAGAGCAGCTCCACCCCCCGCCGCTCAAGTGAGGATTTAAGCGCCTATGCCAGCATCAGTTTCCAGAAGCAGCCAGAGGACCTTCAGTAGCTCAACTGGACATCACAGCAGGTGCGTTTCATGGTGACAAAGTCAGAAGACAAAACTGTTTTTAACCTTGTGCTTCAATTCTGTTCTTCGCCTCTGCCCCTTCCTGTTCTTTCCCACTGCTTCCTCAGGGAGAATGCGCTTACATTCTCAGGGTACACAAGATGCTCACCCCACACTGACATCTGGCAGAGAGTCAAACAAACATGTAGAAGCAGCCACAGGAGGGCTTTTTCGTTTGAGAATTTCCAAGTGAAGGAGTTACTGCCATATTTTTAAAACGTATATCCTATGCCAGTTCTGAGGTTTGTAAAGTTCCTACATAAGAAGCTTGATTGGTTTGTTGAAGTTTTCTTTTCACTATATATTTAAGTCAGCCCCTACAGGGACCGTTCTACAGAAAATATTTATTAACACAGGGGCTAAACCCTTCCTTTAAGATAGTTTCTGGGAGCCCTTAAGGGTGATCTTATCGAGTTGTTCTCTGTCCTTTCGTTCTGTGATTTCATAATACCAAGGCAACATAAACAGTAGCGGGAAACATTGATTTCTATTCATCCTGCCCTAAAAAGATAAGGAGTAAGAGCTTTTTAGAAATACATATTTAGAGAGAAGTACCTATCTATTTTTATGATCTCTCAAAGTAATTATGGGTTACATTGTCCTTTTGTTCCTGTACCAGGATTTGTGAAATATTATTCACACACCAACCCACCATCCCACGGGCCTGGCCTCTCTCATACAGGATATGCAGGAAACTCTGTATGTGTCTGGGACCCATGATTAAGAGTTATGGGAGTTCATCCTAGGATGTCTGCCTTACAGTTACCTCTTCTTGCACTGAGACATTACAGATATCATTTGGGGGCTACTATACATCTTCTGTAAAATAACTTTTATTTGTTGAGAAGAATGCATACTAAGGAACATGCCTTAATATGTTTTGTTTTGTTTTGCATTGAATAGAAGGGCTAAACTGTATACCCTCCACTTTTAGGGTATTTGTTGTGTGCCTTTAAGTTCAAGAGTAGACACCGCAGTAAATGCTGAAAGTTGGCTTTAGGTCTTCTGTGGCTAATGCCGTATTGAAAATGAAAAACATTTGTAATAGGAAATTAGCCTGCCCTTCGTTCTGTTGATCCTGTTTTCTGGTGGTCATGATTGTGGGTAGAAGAGAGGAGTACAGTTTGCAAATAATGTGATGAGTTGGCAATACAGAAGTTTCCAGCATTTGGAAACATTTTACTCTGACAAACTGATTATCTTGTGAATTTTATCTATGCTCCACAGAATAAGCTTTTCAAAGCATTGATTTTTCTTAATTTGTGTCAATTCATAAGAAATTAATCTGTGCCCTGGTTTCCTATTGATAGGTATTTGTTTATCATGTGTTCGTAGTCTTCTTAATTGTGTTTCCAATATTCGATCCATATCATTCTCTATTTTGTAGAAGAAGAAAAAGGTATATGAACACTGAAATGAAGATTTTAGGTGATATGTTATAAAAAGCATTTATTTGATAAGCATTTATTTCAACATTTATTTTCATCATTCACTAGACGATTTAATTGTGTATGTCAACGTCAACAGTACAAATCTTGTTGTATCAAATGATGTTTTTGGGAGTCAGAATCCCTCAACACTTTAAGCATTTGTATTATAAAGTGCCTCAATGGTAAAATATGAGAATTTGAAGGAAACAAGCCAAGCAGAACTAAAATTTTGGTTTTAAAGGAGATGAAGAAAGTTTTTCTTGTCATCTTAATTTTTTTAGGTTTCTTTTTATAGAGTAGAATAAATAATGTTTGCTCTGAAGAAAATTGATGTCCAACTAGAATTTTCATTTTTAAAAAGGGCTTTAAAATAAAATTCTCCTATGTGTTGGATGCATTTAAAAAAAAACAAAACTCTACAACCTTCTATCCTTAACCTTCTTTGGGAAAATAAAATATTCTGGAATAATCATATAATCCTATTTCTAATAATTCTGGAGTAACAATAGACCATGCTTTGCACCGTACCAGGAAAATTCTACAATGCATATTTGAGATGTTTGTGTTGGTGTTTAAAGTGAGGCACCAAATGCTACCTGGCACATTTACATCCTGATTTCTGCTTGCTTGCCTGTGCCCTGTTGAGTCCAAAGATGTTATTCCATAGTTATCTGAAACAGACAGAAGTCAGACCTGTGAGTGGCAAACAGCTTCTGCTCCGAATGAGTATGTGTGTGCAAACATTATTTTCCTCACTTCCTCAGCAATTGCTGTCTTTGCTCTTTTTCCTCATTTCTCAGGTAAAACCTGAGACTCGGTGAAAGGAATAGAGGTGTGATGAGGGGTGTGCGCTGTTGAAACATCTCGGCTTGTTTAAAATTTTTCATTGTGTTAGAGGACAACACTTGTGAAGCACTGAGCTCAGGAGTTCGACTTGTTGGAAGCCTTTCTGCTTTACCTGTAGTCCAGTAACATTTTCTGCCTGCCCTTTCTCTTGCATCGCCTCTTAGTTCTGGCCTGCTCGTTTTCTAGTACTATCCCCTGCCATCCCTTTGTTTCCACCTCTTATTTCATGTTCCTGACAATGTCCTTTTTTTCTTTTGCTCCTTTTCAGAATTTCGCAGTACTTGTGGCCCCCTCTCTGCAGAGAGTAAATTGAGAGCCCAAGAAGCAGGGCAAAAAGAGCCTCTCAGACTCGGTCATAGCAGCCCCGCCACCTTTACCCGGCATCAAATTTGTCTTTTAGTTTTGAAACTGCAGCTGACAAAGACACAGACCCCAGCCATGCCTTTTGGGTTCAGTTTTTTGTTTTTGTCATTCTTTGTTATGCCCTCCCCCTTTAAAAGACCAAAAAAAGAAAAAAAAAAAAAGAAAAAAAAAAACAGAAAAAGACTCTTTCCATTTCTTTTTCATTCTGTTTCCTTTTATGTGATGTCAAGGATTCCGTACCTCCAAGGTTGCCTCCCCTCCCTCCCTTTTCCCGAGCCGAGCCGTGTGGCCTTTTTGGCTGGTGCAAACCCTCTCAGCCCTGGCACTTTCCCTTTTCCGGGTCACCTCCGCTTCCTGCATTCCTTCTCCTCCCTCCTCCGAGCCCCCTTTCGCCCGGGGTGGGGGAACCTGCAGCCAGGCCGCCCTCGGGTCTCCCGCCCCCGCCCGTCTCGGGTCATCCCGGGCGGCCGGGCCCCTTCCCGGGCCGCGTGGTCGGCGCTGGCTGGCGAGGCCCCGCCCTCGGGCACAGCCGTGCGGCTCCGGGTCCCGGGCGGGCGGGGCGACTGGGCGCTGATTGGCCCCCACCACAGCCAATCAGCGTGTGAAACGGCTGAGCCGCGGCGGGTGCGGGGCGGGGCTTTCCGCAGGTCCCCTGGAGGTGGTAGCGGGCGGGCGGCCCTGAGCTGCTTTCTACCACCCCGCCTGACACCTCTTTCCCACTGGTGCCCGCAGGCTGAACCACAGGCCCCCTCCGTACCGCGCCCGCCGACTGAGGACGTTGTGCCCTCAGCCGTATTCTTGCATTTGGACCAGAATCCTAAGAACGAAAAAGTCCAACCAGCCCACGGACGGGGGCCGGAAACACACACTTCCTCTTATTTTTAATTGAGAAAAATCCAGGCCGTAACCATGTGACGAGCCCCATTTTGTTTCCCTCCTCTCTTTACTACGGTTTACTACGAGGCCACGTTCCTTCGTCTTCCTGTCTCGAGATCCGCGAGCAGGAAGGGAGCCCCGCACGTGGCTGCGGGCCTGCGGGCCGGGTGGGGTTGGTCCGCAATTCCTGCCCGCCCCCCGCCACCCGCCACCAAGGGAGGGAGAGAGACCTGCGAGTGCTGCGGCTGCCGTCGTTTTTGGTCACTGGGGGAGGGGAAGTTCCTTTGGCTCGAAAGTGCCCTAGGCTCCATAGACTTTACTGCAAAGCACCTGAGCTAGGTAAGAGCTGGGAAAACGCATCCTCCTGGGCTGTGAGGGAGCTCACAGAGAAATGAAAGATGGGACTGCGGCTTGCAGATCCTGAGAACTCGGTGTGACAAGGGTTTGGGTAGTGTGTTCCTTCAAGGCTTAGAGGAAATGCTATCGCGTTCTCAGACACAGATTCATTTTTCCATCATTGACAGTCCCAGTGACAGCCCGTCAATTTAGGCTAGGCACATCGATTTTGAAAGCTTGCTAGATTTGTGTTGTGCACCCTCCAGTAACCAAAATTATGTGAGATATATTACTACATGGGATGGAAAATGTGTTGAGATTTGGCCTTTCTAAAATAAGGAAAATAAGAAAGAGAAGTGCTATGGGCGTATTTTCTCCTCCTTCCCTCTCAAATAAGGATTTCTCACCAGCCAGCATCCCTCTTGCATCACTGAATCATAAGATCCCAGGGCAGCGCTTTTTCTGAGGGGCCAAGTGAAACATCACAGGTGGAAACGTACCAAGCAGGTGCAAATGCTATGCCCCAAAACTGCTACTGAGCAGTGGGAGAGAGTTTCTCTGTTATTCCAGAAAAGTTTGAGCGTCTAATAATTTGCTTAAGTTTTGCAATTGTTTAGGTAGCTTTTTATATTTAAAAAAATCCATAAAATGTTGCATATATTGTAGTCATTTCTCTTAGTTTACCCTCAATAAATACTATCTCCAGCATTGCCTTACAAGAAGAGACTTGGGATCCAAAGGGCATGCCACTTTTTTTTTTTTTTAATCAGAATTCCAGGAATATAGCTTTGTGCTATCTTAAATGATGCAATGGAAAAAGCAGTTCTTGGGAGCCAGAGATCTTGGGCTCCAACACAGCCTGTGCCCTTCACCAGCTGAGTGACCTTGGGCAAGTCACTTAATTTCTCTGGACCTATTTCTTAATCAGTAACTTGAGGATTTTGTTCTCGATTATTCTAACCTCCTTTGCAGCTCTAAACATAGGAATGTTGTGGAGAAAATAACTGATACTCTTTAATGGGTCAGTTGTAATGAGGATTCTGAAGAAGAAGCTGTTGACAGGGTCATCATAAAGCATTCGAATAGCCTGTTCTGTCCATTTCTAACCTT